CTTGTCCAGCGTCTCCACACTGTGCATGCTCCTGCCCGTTAGTCCCGAATAGCCACCTTAAGTGATGAGATTGACTGTCGCAGTTATCCTGTGCTTGTGTTCAAGTCACCCGTATGGTAATGCCTGATGTGGCGTCACAAGGCCCACATTATTCACCTCACCATGTCATGTCGGCATTTTATTATCTTGCTTCTTCACAAGAAGGGTGAGTACAATACAACAAGGTATTTTGAGAAAGAGAGACTGCATTCACATAACTTCTGTTACAGTGTATTGTTAAATTTGTTTTATTTTATTCTTTTTAACCTTTTTCTGTGCTGAAATTTATAAACTAAACTTTATCATAGCTGTGTTATAGAAAATAAAAACATAGTATGTATAGGGTTCAGCGTCATCTGTGGTTTTAGGCGTCCACTGGGGGTCTTATGCCCCATGGATAAGGGGGAGCTACTATATATCCAAAGGTGGCGAAAACACTACTTTGAAAAGATACCTGCATCCACATGTGTACAGCAGCATTATTTACAATAGCCAATACATGGGAGCAACCTAAGTATTCACTGATGGATGAATAGTTAAAGGAGTTGTGATATTGATATATATGCAATTGGGCTATTATTTTTCAGCCATAAAAACTATTTGCAATAACATGGATGGACCTTGAGTGTATTATGCTAAGTGAGATAAGTCAGACAGAGAAAGATAAACACTGTGTGAGCTCACTACATGTGGAATCTTAAAACAAAAACAAAACTAAGCTCAATAGAGAAAGAGATCATACTTATGGTTACCAGAGGCAGGGGATAGGAGGAGGGGAATTGGGGAAGCTGGTCAAAAGGTACAAACTTCCAGTTATAAGATAAATAAATCCTGGTGATGTTATGTACAGCATGGTGACTATAGCTAACTGGTGTATGACATATGGGAAAGTTGTTAAGAGAATAACTCCTGAGTGCTCATCACAAGAAGATGTTTTTCTTTTCTTCTTTCTTTTCTTTTTATTGTATCTATATGAGAAGATGAATGTTAGCTGAACCTACTGTGGTAACCATTTCACAATATATGTAAATCAAACCATTGTGCTATATGCCTTGAACTTGTACAAGGATGTATAGCAATTATTTCTTAATAAAACAGAAAAAAATAATTTAAAAAAATCTTTCTCTGGAATTTTACAAGAGCTTCCCCCAAAATGTGTGTTCAAGATAAAATGTTTAAAATATTTTATTTCTTACTAGAGGCCTGGTGCTTGAATTCAGGGGTGGGGCTGGCCAGGGGGAGGGGCCCTGGCTGTTGGCGGGCCAGCCCCTCCCCCCCCTGGTCAAATTCTCAAACTCCCGGTCCAGGGGACAATTTGCATATTACCCTTTTATTATATAGGATTTATTTACAAAGATTGTGAAAACTCTTCTTTTAAATTTTTTCTTTGCTGATGCATCCTACTTGAACAATAGAATTGACTGAACATTCTGCGTGCCAAATGAACAACCTTTATACAAAGTGTTTAATGTGATACATTTATAAGATGAAGGTGTCTTGTAAAGTGTAATTCAAAATGAATAGAATAAAAAATACCTGTTGTATGAATTGAAAGGTGAGAGATGGAGGAGTGACAAACTTGGGAAAACTTTTGCACTGAAGGTAGAACTTGAGGTAGATGCTAAATAATAGATGGATGTGGTAGAAGTTAAAAGGGTATTTCAAGTTGGGAACAGACTCTTGGCAAAGGTGCATTTGGCTGAAATGGACGCTTCTTATGGAAGACTAAAGGAGATATTGACAAACCAGAGTGGGACCAAATTATAGGTGTTTTCCAATGTCATATTAAGGAGTTTTGTGGATTTTCTTCCATAAATAATGGAGAGTTATGAAAGTTTTGAAAGACTATAATGAGTTTGATAGAGTAGTTCTAGAAATTGCCCTCTGTGATGACATGAGAGAAATTTGAAGGCAAGTAGACGTATTTATAATCATGTGTATGAGATGCCAGGGACCTAGGTTAATGTCATGGGAATGTCAGACAAGGGAGCTGAGACAAATGCTTCAGATGCAGTGCTGTAGTCTTGATGTAGTAAAGGAGGTGAAGGAAGACAGTATGTCAGGAAGGATAGTGAGGTTTCAGATTGGGTGACTGGGAGGATGAGAAATACGCCAGATGGCAGAAACAGAGAGGTCAGAAGAGGAAAATTGTTTGGATGGATGAGGGGAAGGAAAGCAATGGTAAGTACATGGGGTTCAAGTTAATGTGAGCCACACATGTCATTTAAAATTATCTAGCAGCCCCATTCAAGATAGTAAAAATGAACAGATGAGTTATGTTGAGTAATACTTTACCCCAACATATTAAGAATACCATTTCAACATATCTATAATAATAAAAGTGTAATATGCTAATTAGACTGGACAGCCGAACGACCTTCCAGACGTTCTTCCGGACAAAGCCGGGGCTGCGAGGGCCGAGCCCCTTGCATGAATTTCGTGCATTAGGCCTCTAGTAATCAATATAAAAGCATTAATGAGATGGTTGACATTGTTTTTCTCATACTGAGTCTTTGAAGCCTGGTGTGTATTTAACATTGAGAGCATATCCCAATGTAGCCACAGTTCAAGTGCTCGGTAGTCACCTGTGGCTGGTGGCTACCACATTGGACAGTGTGCTATTAGACAGTTTAATAAAACTAACAAATTTATGTAGTAGATGTCTCAAATAAGCTGGTGCTAAGACTCACTGTATTGGAAATTATAATTTCTGCTTATCCTTTATCACTTCTATTCCTTTTGTTTATTTTAGCTTTTTCATATTCACATGTTCTTTTAGCCAAATATCATTTTTCCCCAAAGCACTAAGAATTTTAGAAATATTCTTGACATACCATTTCATTTCTCTCTCATTTAATTCTCCCTTTGACTAACAACTTTAATTAAATAAATCAGTCTGAGTCTCTTTGTTCTTCGTTTGTCAATCTTAAAACTCTTGATTATGAGAGAATTGGGCAATACATCTTCAAAACCCTTGGATAAATGACATTTCATTTGGAAATGAAACTACAATACATTTTTCATGTTCCCCTGTTTGCCTGTGTGTGTATTTCTCCAGTGTTGAATGTCTGACATCAACTTGCTGGATTTTTGGTCGTTGCTATATGCTAAAGAATGAAGTTCAAAGGGAACTTCCTTCTATAGAAAACACGCCAAGGACATTGTGTTCCATCTTCACAATGAAATGCAGATTTCCATTAAAAGGCAAATCCATCATTTCAAAAGGTTGACTAGGATGGTGTATTAAAAAAAGCCAGCTGCTTAAATTTAGGGCATTGAAAAACGGCTAAAAATATTTCCCTGGGTCTCAAGCATTTTCATTTATTTATGGATTTAATAGATTTTCATTTAGTCTATGATCTTGCCTCGATCTTGTTTGTGTTTCAAACACATCACTCGACTATGATACTTCACTTATTTAAATGATGTATGTTGCTGTTTAGAATATCTTTGAATTTGCTAATATAGTATTAATTTTTGTACAAGAAATATTGGCATCTTCTCACAGTACTTTTGCTTTTTCATGCTTGTTCCTAGGCTTCCTTCACTCCCATTTAGTTTCTTTGATATTTTTGTGAGTTTTTAAAATCTTCTTTGCGGACGTTGTCTGCCAGCACAGTGTGCTATTAGACAGTTTAATAAAACTAACTGCAACCAACTTCCTTCAGCTGCTTCAGTCACCTAGTTCTCTCTACCCCATCACTTGAATGTGCTCTGCCAACTGTTTTCTGAGCAACTTAGGAGTAAGAAGTGACAGAGAGAGTGTTGCTCCCAATGACTCTCTGTGGGTGTGCAGACAAAATGATCCCCACCCACTGGCCTGGGAGCACAGATGAGTTCTGCTCTCCACTGCTGAGCCAGCCACAAATCCTCAAGGACGTGCTGTAGGGGCCAGAGGAACAGCCAAAAAAAAAAAAGGCTTATGTCAGACATGTCTCTACAGTGCATGTATTCTCCACAGGAAATACATTAATAGTTGTTTATTAAAAGTCATGGCTAAGTCTCCATGCTCCCCTCTTCCAGAGGCTAGTCCTGTTTTTTCTCAGGACCAGCACCCAGAGGTAGGGCCTGGGACCATAGAGGGACTACTGTTGAACAAATGCCCCAGGAGTACATCCTGACTAGGTTTCCTAGATTGAGTGTTTGTCTCTCCTATTATCCTTGGCTGTTAAGCATTTGTACATATGATAACACTGCCCCTGGGCCAGACCCTGAAAGTAAATGTTTCTAATAATTCTCTGCCGCCCAGTATGTTTTACTAAGATCCATTTGGTGTCATTTGCAGACCTCCCCTCACCAGTGTCCATTTTCTTCCTAAAGAATTGTTCATTTTGAAAAAGAACCTGTTCTAGTTAATATCAGCCCACTTTTAATGTTTTGTTGTTGTGTTTTTTCTCTCTCTCAAAGAGCTCAACAATTAAATGGCATCATTTTCTTTTTCTGGACCCCCATTTGTTCTAGACTTAAGTGAAGGAAGTATGGCTGTGCTTCAGCATAGTTTATGGGGGCATTTCATTCTGGGGTCCTTGTGCTTCCAAGCCCCTGCCAGCACTGGCTATCAAAACTGCTTAGACTGCAAATAAAATATGAAATGAAATCCATCTGGCATTTCTCATTGAATTAGGACCAGAACATTTTTGTTAAATATTAACAGATGGCTAAATTCTTAATATCAAGCTAACGTTTGAAAACATCTAAGGGGACCCACATGAGGAAGAAAGGATAGAGGCCCATGTGTTTTCTCCATCGCTGAGCCCTTCCTTCCTCTAGCCTTTCCTCCAACCATGTGTTGAGAATCATTGGAGACGCCTATCTCAGATAACTTCTCTTCTTTGGTACCTGGTATCAAAACAGTGTGCGATGGTATCAAAATATTGTAATCAAATGTTGGCCGGCTCAGGTGAAATGTCACCATTGACATGCTTCAACATCTTTTGTTAAAGTGCTCTCTCTCTCAATAGGAAAAAGAAAAGAAGTATATGCTTCCCTTGGACAACCTGAAAGTTAGAGACGTGGAAAAAAGCTTTATGTCCAGCAAGCACATCTTTGCAATCTTTAACACAGAACAAAGGTAAGAAAATGGAGCAGCTCTGTCTTCAGATTTCCCTCCCCCCGAATTTCTACATGACCCAGAGACCGTATTTGCAATAGTTCCTTTGGCTCCACTTTGAAATTTGTTAACTCATCCATTTTGCCTTCATTTATTTTGTAGCTTATAGCTTCCGCCATAGGTTATGGATTCTAAAGATGAAAAATTAGAGTGAGAAGGATCTTCACATATTAGTTTATTCCCTGCTTTGCCAGGAGCCACCCCCATCACACTGCTTCCATTCTTAAACTACATTTTATTACTTTAAAGTCTTCCTTGCCCTGAATTTATTGTTTACTTACAAATTACTCAGCCATAATTTTAATGATATCTGTCTGGCATGAATGGATACCACTTAAGACTTTTCCTATATTTTATGACTAGATTCTTGCATTGGTGAATAGAATTATCCAGATAACATGAAGACAAATATATCATACTTTACAGTTTTTCCAAACACGTCTAGGTTCATTGCCTGTTTTTTGTAACAATTGCCCATGAGGTTAAAAGATAGAGTAGTGTGGTTACCATTTTATAAATTAGAAAATGTAGCTCAGAGAGGTTAACTGACTTAAGATCACAAATTAGAGCATTGGAAAGCTTAAATCTGAATCTTTCTTATCTAAGTGTCTTTCTTTCTTTCTTTTTTAACTGCCACTCACCTACAATAGCAAAACTTAATTTGGGGCTGATTATCCCAGAGTCCATGGTTGTTCACTGAAAGAAATTAAGTGGTAAAGTTAAATAAACAAACAGAGAGGCAACAGAGGACAAGGACAGAGAGGTGTAAAAGGGCGGTTACAACTAGGCAAGGAGAACATGGGAGATCTTTTCCAAATGGAAATGCTATAGGAAAAAGCTAATTAATTTCTGTGACTTAGTTATTAAGAGACAGAGTCATCAGCTGTGGGGTCTAATTTTAACTCATCTTTCCAGGCCTTTTATCTTTATTTAGCAATGAATGAAGTTCCTTGATTAGGTTCAGTGACTGGCCCAGGGTCAATCACACAGTGATTCAAAATAGCAAAAGAAGCCTTTTTCCTACATTCCCAGTCAGTTGCTCAGAGTGACTCATACAAAAATACTTATAAAAACCACAAGAGCAAGGCACTTAAAGAATCAAGGGGACAGCAAATTAGATATAACTCCCCTATCAAATACTGAGATGGAATTGTTTTTTAAAAAGACTTGGAATTCCTTGGGGGAAAAAAACAACACAAAACATTAGTAATAGAAAGAATAAAAAGGTTTCCTGGAGAGAGCAGTAGCATGTCTTCATATCCGGACCATGCTCAGTGACTTGAACACCTTCCTCAGAGCAGTGGGGAAATGGGTGGTCCTAAAAGAATCATCAGAGGGGTGCTCAGCTTTCTGGCCTGGATGCAGAATGGGAAGTGTGACTGCCACATAGGAGTAAACTACAATCGGGTCCTTGGTCAACCTGGAAAGTTTAGGTTCTAAAAGGGCTTCGTTCTTGGCCGGTGTTGCTCTGTGGGATCACAGGTTTGATCTCCAATCAAGGGCATGTACCTGGGTTGCAGGTTTGATCCTTAGCCTGTCAGCAATTGCGGAAGACGACCAATTGAGGTGTCTCTCTCACATTGATGCCCCCCCGCCGCTTTCCACCCTTCCCTTTCTCCCCTTCCATTCTCTCTAAAAATCAATGGAAAAAATATCCTCAGGTGAGGATTAACAACAACAAATACTGATAATATAGCTGTCTAAAAATAAAAGGGCTTGATACAAAGTAAAAAAAAAAATCAGCATCTTTTTAGATGAAATACAACTGTGGATTTTAAAGAGAACAAAAGACACCAAAATAAGAAAACTCTATAAACTTCTAAAAATATAGGTATTCTAGAATACTAATTCTCAGCAGGCATTGAACTCTGCAGCTACTTCTCAGAAACCTCAGAGTACAAGGATGTCCCATCTACAGGCACTTTTACCAATGTCTCTTTCTCTGAAATTGTGATTAGTTTTCAATTAATTTTGTACTGGTGAGGACCTCTAGTAAGTACAATGTCGAGTACAATGGGTGATCCTTGTCTTATTTATATTTTAAGGAGAATTATTTCATAACTAGAGGCCTGGTGCACGAAATTTCTGCACGGGTAGAGTCCCTAGGTCTGGCCGATTGGGCCTTCCTTCCCCCAGCTGCCAGCTGCCTGCCAACCCTTCCTTCGTTCTGTGTCACCCCCTAGTGATCAGCGCACGTCATAGCGAGCAGTCGAACTCCTGGTTGGTCAAACTCCTGAGGGGACAATTTGCATATTAGCCTTTTATTATATAGGATTCTATAGTTAGGTACTTTCTGATAAGGAACCTGATATCAGGTAAAGGAAATCCCTGTGTTTCTGGTTGCTACATTGTTTCTGTTTTAATCATGGCTGGGTGGTTGAATTTTATCAATTATTTTCTCTGCCTCTACAGACAAGATTGAATGATTTTCTTCTTTAATCTATTCATGTGGTGAAATATATCTATAGACTAATGTTAAACCATCCTTGATCTCCTAGAATGAAACCTAGTTAAGTCATGCTATATTATTATTTACTAGAGGCCCGGTGCACAAAAATTTGTGCACTCAGGGGGGAGGGGGGGTCCCTCAGCCCAGCCTGTGCCCTCTCGCAGTCTGGGACCCCTTGGGAGATAACGACCTGCTGGCTTAGGCCTGCTCCCGGGTGGCAGAGGGCAGGCCCAATCCCTAGGTGCAGCCCCTGGTCCAGGCTCAGAGCAGGGCCGATTGGGGAGTTGGGGCGTTTATTATATTAGGATTCTATAGTTAGGTACTTTCTGATAAGGAACCTGATATCAGGTAAAGGAAATCCCTGTGTTTCTGGTTGCTACATTGTTTCTGTTTTAATCATGGCTGGGTGGTTGAATTTTATCAATTATTTTCTCTGCCTCTACAGACAAGATTGAATGATTTTCTTCTTTAATCTATTCATGTGGTGAAATATATCTATAGACTAATGTTAAACCATCCTTGATCTCCTAGAATGAAACCTAGTTAAGTCATGCTATATTATTATTTACTAGAGGCCCGGTGCACAAAAATTTGTGCACTCAGGGGGGAGGGGGGGTCCCTCAGCCCAGCCTGTGCCCTCTCGCAGTCTGGGACCCCTTGGGAGATAACGACCTGCTGGCTTAGGCTCGCTCCCGGGTGGCAGAGGGAAGGCCCAATCCCTAGGTGCAGCCCCTGGTCGGGCTCAGAGCAGGGCTGATTGGGGAGTTGGGGCGCCGCCCCCTGTCATGCACAGAGCAGGGCGGATTGGGAGGTTGCGATGCCACCCTCAGTCACGCTCAAGGTAGGGACGATTGGGGGGTTGAAGCACCGCCCCCTGTCACACTCAAGGCAGGGTCGATGGGGAGGTTGCGGCACCACCCCCTGTCACGCACAGAGCAGGGCCAATCAGGGGGTTGGGACGCTGCCCCCTGTCACTCACAGAGCAGGGCCCATCAGGGGGGTTGGGGCTCCGTACCCTGTCACGCACAGAGCAAGGCCAATCAGGGGGTTGGGTGGTGCCCCCTGTCATGCACAGAGCAGGGCCGATCAGGGGGTTGGTGTGCTGCACCCTGTCAAACACAGAGCCGCAGGGCAATCAGGGGATTGGGGAGCTCCCCCCTATCAGGCACAGAGCAGGGCCTGTGGGGGTGGGGGGGTTGGGGCGCCGCACCCTGTCACACACAGAGCAGGGCCCGTGGGGGGGGGGGTTTGGGCGCCGCACCCTGTCACACACAGAGCAGGGCCCGTGGGGGGGGGGGTTTGGGCGCCGCACCCTGTCACACACAGAGCAGGGCCCGTGGGGGGGGGGGTTTGGGCGCCGCACCCTGTCACACACAGAGCAGGGCCGATCAGGGGATTGAGGAGCTCCCCCCTGTCACTCACAGAGTAGGGCCGATAGGGGAGTTAGGGCACCGCCCCCTGTCACACACAGAGCAGGGGGGATCAGGGGGTTGGGGCGCTGCACCCTGTCACACTCAGGGCAGGGCCAATGGGGAGGTTATGGCTCTACCCCATCACACACAGAGCAGGGCCCGTGGGGGGTGGGG